ATTTTTCCGCTAGAGACATTACTCCATCAGTGTAGAATTTTTCTGGATTCTCGGCGAAAACTGCGAAAAGTAATCTTCACAGGCTTCTTTTGAAGGAAACTTTACTAAATTAAGAGAGCTCTGCATTGACCGAAACAAATGGTAGTCCGATGGTGCAAGGTCAGGGCTATAGGGTGGATGCATCAAAACTTCCCAGCCACACTCTCCCAATTTGTGCTGATGGAAGACGAAGCCCTTTCTGCTTGCTTCAACTTTTTGAGTTGTTGATGGTAAAATATTGAATTAATCGTTCGAACGGGCTGGAGCAGATCATAGTGAATGATTCCTTTAAAATCCCATTACACACTCAGCATAACCTTTCGAGGTGTCAATCCTGGCTTTGCGACCATTTGTTGAGCTTCACCACGCTTGGACGATGATCTTTTCACATATTATTGTCAAATTTGACCCACTTTTCGTCTCCTGTTACCATTCGCTTCGGAAATGGTTCGATTTCATTTCGTTTCAGCAAAGAATCGCAGCATTAAATTTTTCACAGACAATTCAGGTGGTTCCCTAACATCGAGCTTCTTTTTGTAGATATCATTTTTTAAATGGTTCACAACCGTTTGATGATGAATGTTAAGTTTCTTAGCGATGCCATGGCTGCTTTTGTGACGGTCCTGGTCAATCTTTTCCATAATTTCATCGACCTTTTCAACGCTAGGTCGTCCAGTGCGAGCTGCATTTTTCATATCGAAAATTCCAGAACGGAATTGAGCGAACCATTGTTATGCTACATGAACTGACACAGCATCGTTTCCGTAAAATTCACAAATTTCATTCGATGCTTGTGTGGCATTCTTCCCATTTTTATAAAAAAAATTTCAAAATATATCGAATTTCTTCATTATTTTCACGCATTATGGAACAGCTGTAACTTTTTTTCAACTTTACCGGATTAAATTTTTTTTCTTATATGAAGCTTAAAATCTCGCCTTTCCAACACTATATGGTATGATACCATGCGATTGGTAGCACTGGAGATATACGACTGCAACGACATCTATTGACGAAATACGAAAAGACTTTTTCGACTACCCAATATTAGTGCTATTTGAAGTTCTGGACTAAATGAACTTCATTCTTAAAGTAAAAATTAAATTTTTATTAAAACAAAATTTGTCCTTTTTATAACTAAATGTATAAAGACAATTAGAATAGTCTGGTCTACTTTGTATTCAAATGAATGCAAACTCCAATTAGTTGATTAACTTGACAATTCTAATAAGATTTGTGATAATAAAGAATAATAAATTGAAATGGAATGCAATGACTAAAGAATTTCTTTATTAGTTAATAGGCTACAATAGAACACACGAGCGGCGCAAATAGTAAGGATAAGTTCGCACCTTGAACTTTGATTTCGCTTGTGTATTTATTACAATTTAATTGAGCCCAGCTTAGGTTATTAACAATCTGAGTGTTAAATTTATGGACTATAAAATCTCACTACCATAAATTAAAGTGTTCAAGATAATTGTTATGAACAGATTACTTATTATTTAATTCTTATTAAATAGATGGAAGTGTAAGGACGTTTGAATGAAAACAGTTCGATTTTTTGCGCTTCTGTCAGCACAAGGAAACGTAATTAAGATAGTGTGCAGATCGGCTGGAGTTTAAATATAAAGTTCTCTCTCCACGAACAAAGACTAAACTCTACAAGTCACTCATCATCCCCATTCTGCTATATAGTGCAGAGGCATGAACGATGACAACATCTGATGTGTTGACGATCCGAGTTTTCGAAAAAAAGGTTCTGCGGAAGATTTCGCAATGACATTGGCGAATACCGCAGTCGATGTAACGACGACATTACATGGTTGGCTAGGTCATGTCATCCGAATGGATGAAAACACTCCAGCTCTGAGAGTATTCGCCGTAGTACCCGAAGGTGGGGAAGGACCTGGCTACACTTGGAATCTCTAATTGGTGCCAAACAGCGAAAAGGAAGAACAAAGAGAATACTTATATGTTGTTTCGTTATTTTTCATAAGCTTTCCCAACGTTTTATATTACAACTCCATATCAATATCGATTATTCTAAGGTGCTATAAAATATCGTACAGCCTTTCCAATATATTATAAAAAAATCGCAAATGCTTTAAATTATTCTAAACTTTGATACGAAATACTGCACGCGCTAACCAGTCTATCGTAATAGTCTATCATTACTTTAAGAATTGTAGGTATAAATAAGTCGATACTTGACACGACGTTGTCCGTGTTATAAGTGTATACAATAAACTTTAATTATTGACTTGCAGCATTCTTCACTATTTAGTAGCGATCGGAAAAGTAACAGTAAATTTTTATAATAGCATTTTGTGATTGTTAATGTATGTAATCTTTAAAGCTTTGTGAAAATACGCAGTGTTGTAAAGGCGAGCGGCTATAAGATGTACCCCGCTGTATAAAATTACATTGCATATGGTAAAAATACATGGGAACATATAATTATCTATGTATATCACAATGCGACGAGTAGGAAGCAATTTAAGTAGCCTAATTGATTTCCTATCTAGATTAGATAAGATTTAGGTAGAGGTTTTGCTAATAATTATTGTAAATCGTATTTTTAATAGTATTAAAGAATTCCATTGTTGTAATGTCTGCTTCTAAATGTGTTAAGGAATTATATGGGCCTAATTTCTGCTTCTATGCATGTGTGAAGAATTTCAGCCAGTTTTCATGAATAAACAAATAACAGAAGAGCTGACTTTAAAATTTGGTTTATAAATTTTCGCAGAATCTAATATGAAGGTACAGATATGATTACATAATTATTTGTGTTGTCCTGATGTGCTCTGGACATTCAACTATTTTGAGTGATCTGATCTGTCATGAACAAAGTTAAACATTATATAAATCATATTTAAGCTTGAATGCTGGAAAATGTACTCTATTGTCAAACAATGTCACGTGGTTGATAGAATTAAACGTTTTTGACATTTTATCTACATTGTCTTCACAATTCCTTGCTAAATTGACGTCACTGGTAAATATATGCCAAAAGTTTTGTGTTCGATTGTGCTCAATTTAAACTTTACTTGGTTATGAGTATTTGGTATATGAGTATTTTCAATTCTAACTGTCTATGGTTGCGGTGTTATATTTCGAAATCTCTGCTATGGCCAATTAGCGACACTCAAAGAGCAGTCAAATAAAGATTTGAGTCAGATTTCGATTACGATTGATTTATTCTTTTTATAACCCTCTCTGACTTACAGATTAAAATGGCTCAGTGCTCCATATACATATGTATGTATGTATGTCTGACCAATAAATATTTACCCCAACGAGGAATGGATAGAATTTGTCCGTGGTATGGTATGCACGTCATAAGAGGCAACTAAAATCAATATTCACTTGGCTTGCCTCGAAATGTAGTATTTGTCAGAAATAGTACCATAATACTCATCTTGCACTGATATTATAGATTTTGAATGAGTTTCCTTCTAATGAAAAGGCATTTGAAGTTCAAACGAAAAATATCACTGGTCATTGAGTTCTTGGGTGCTCAACTGGTAGTTGCAAAGCTATTGGCTGGAGATTTTAATGTGGTACTATGGGCAGCAGTTAGCCCTTGAAGTTAGCTCAAATCTTTTCATTAGGTTTGGCTCTATAGGGAGATTTGTGGTGGCTGTGGCTTAAACCTAAAGACAGGTAGGATTGAAAAATTCAATTCAGCGTTGAGTCGCACTGCGGACGGGTTCCGGATCCATAACATGGCATAGGTTTTAGATCGGCCTCGAACCCAACCTATGTTAAAAGGGGTTCCCTTTCATCCAACCTATTAGAACCAAAAAATAGTGTAAAAAGCATTTATTATTTGGTGTGCTGATCAACGCATTGTATTGATCTAGTTGCTGAAAAAAGAACCGTAAGGTTATGCCGTCGACGGCAGGTATGCGGTAAAAGTTTCTGTGGGCAATTGAAGATACTCAAAGAGCTGTCAAATAAAAAAATTAGTCCGAAATTTACTTCGTTGTTGCGGGTAGAAAACTTGTATTTATGAATCCGAACACCATGTCACAAAAAAAAAACAAAAACAAAAAAAAAAAANAAAAAAAAAAAAAAAATAAAGGCAAGAAGTAACACCTGAAATCGGTGAAACTTACATAGTAATTTTAAGCACAAACACTATAATTTTTTCGTTTATGAAGTCATCATCTACTAGAAAGAAACAGACCTGAAGTTTCTTAGCAATATTTCCACCAATTCTCATTTAGGCGTAATATTTTTGCCTACAGGGTTTCTACAGATTTATGCACATACAAATATTCATGTTTTAAAATATGTACATATTTATATGTGGACTTAAGTGTACATGTATACATATGTACATACTTTGCAGTATCCGTAATTATCAAAACCCATAATATTGTGAAATGTCATATAGTTAATTACGGATTTTCAAAAACATTGTGGTTGGTATTGTTTTGAGTTTGACAGGTGTTAGTGACACTTGGCTTCCTTGCGCTACTGCATGTTGTAAACAAACATAAATGATTGTATATTTTTAACTGCTTTCTTGACTCTTGTGCGGAATTGGAATTTGAGTGATTGTTTTGTTACGAAATACTAAATACTATAGAAAAAGTCGGCAACTGTTTGGGTTCTGTAATGCGAAACCTCCGAGCTGAGACAAATAATTAAATGTGTGTTACAAAAACAAAAACAAAAATCGTTAGCAAGTCGCTTTAAAGCAACTTACTTACAAATGTAGGTAAGTGAAACTTTAGTCAAAACACGAGCACCTTTAGAATTTTCGGAAGCGCGAAATTATTTATGCTGCTGTTTGCTTTTGTTGTTTTTTTTTTAATGTGTGTAGTTTTATAATATGTATGTATGTTTGTATGTTTGAAAAAATGTTGCATGTCTTAAGGTTAATAGAATTTTACATTTTGACTTACCCCTTTGTACTGATTGACTTTTTTGTTGTAATTTCATTACAGTTGGAGCTAAAATGTATTCCAGGTGATTTTTTACTGTTACTATGCGAAGAGGAACACATTTTCAATGGTGTTGCCAGAATATGAAAGTAAAATAAAAAATAAAATAAAATAAATGAATTAATTAAAATAAATAAATAATCAAATTATATACATATGTATGTACAAAGTAAACAAATAAAAATAAGGCGTGGAACAATAAAAGTGTGGAGAGTGCACTGTGCTTAAGAAATATAATCAAAACAATTAAATGACAGTTGTATTAAATTAGAAGTGCAAATAATTTCAGTGAAATTCTTAACAACTGTGATCATATAAAAATAAAAAAATATACATAAAATTTACACATACATAAATATATTACATATAATATAAAATAATAGTAAATAACGTTAAACTAAAAATAGTAACTTCAATTAGCATCGCGCACACACAAAAATGACGCTGGAAACTCACGGTAAACTGCTGAAAGAGCGCGTTAAGCCCGTCGATATACAATTCAAGGATCTAAGCTATCAAGTTCAAGTTCAAAAAGGTATGTATGTGTGGCTGTAAGTGCACAATTACCTCGCAAACTTCGCAACTAGACAACACGAATGTTCTTCAAATTAAGTTCAAGAATACTTGTAGACAGTTGGCAAACGACAAACTGCCAAAGTATGCATGTAAATAATATATAATATATGTAAATATGTACATATATATAATATGTATATGTATGTAAAATCAAGTTTTGCGGTATGTTTGTATTTGGTATTTTGTGATAAAAAGATTTGTGTTGCACTCAAACTGGTTACTCTAGGTCTTAGCTGCAGTCATTAAGAAGCGTTTTTTATATATTATTTGGTTGTCTATATATATACTACACATATTTATATTCAATTGTAAATTCGTTAGTAGCTCCGAAACTGGTAAATTTGTTTTTAAACACTTATTTATAAAGAGAAAAAAATGCAAATTTTTGCCTTTCTAAATACCTTTAATTGAAAGTGTATATATGTAAATGCATAAACATACATATTTACGCTGTCAACGAAATCACCAATATAATATTTTTTATCTGCCAGCCAGTCTGCTAATTTGAGTTTTCCATTGATTGAGTGGAAAAAATTTAAATGCATAAATAATCGAATTTTTTAATATAATATAATTGGCAATTTTATACATATGTACCAAGAAATAATAGGACTTTTTTCATAATTTTAAAATTTGTAATTTATTCTGCAAAATCTATGTCGTCCACCTCAAAGTAATCACCCTTGGCCACAGTACAATTGTGCCAACGAAATTTCCAATCCTCTAAACAGTGGTTAAAGTCCAGAATAGCTTTCAATGTTTAGTAAGTAGCGATTCACGTTCGATGTCTTCAATTGACTCAAAACGGTTTCCACGGAGCGGTCGCTTGAGTTTGATGAATAGCCAGAAGTCACACCGAGCTAAATCAGGCGAATACGGTGGTTGTGGCACGATATTGTTTGATAATTTGACAGTATTCGGCCGATTAAGCGTCAGTAATAATATGTTTCTTGACATCGTGGTACTCGTAAATCATTGTTTCAAAGACGTTAACGCAACGCTGTTTATCGGAAAAATTGAGTGATTTTGGAACCAATTCTGCCAATTCGCTTTTCTTAGGTCCAAATGTTCTTTCAAAGTTGTTTTCACAGTTCCCTCCCTGCCAGTAGGATCTCTAACTGTTAATCGTTGATTCTCAAGCCCCAATTCTTTAATTTTATTGACGTGTTAATCATCAGTTGATGTTGATAGCCGTCCTGGAAGTGGTTCGTCGCCAACGCATTCTCGACCCACTTCGAATAATTTGTACGAATCAAAAAGTCTGGCTCGCGACAAACAATTATCACAAAAGGCCTTTTCCAACATTCTGAACATTTAGGCAGCAGAAATTTGATTCCGCACACAAAATTTAATGGAACTTCTTTGTTGAATAATTCCACTCATCGTGAATGTACTTTATGTATTACTAAGTATTGTAGTATGTATGCAGTGATCGATTTTAAATACTGTGGGCCGTAGTGTCATACACCAAAGAATAGATATGGTTTAGCAACCTATGATCTGATTGCAAATTTAATAATAATAATAGGAAAGCATGCTAGGACGTGGGTTTACACCCAAAAATAGTCTGCTATACCACTAATGCCTTTAAACATGGTTTGGGCCTCTTTTTCATGGGGAGGTGTCGGAACTATTTTTTTGATAAAAAAATAAACCGCTATATATGCGGTACAATTTTAGATTAAACCATGCTCCCGTATGCTGAATGGAATATGCCTTTAACTTGACAATTTCAACAGGACAATGTCCCGAAATATACTTCGAGTCTTACAAGGAAATGATTTTCAGATCATAAAGTTGATGTTATATCTAAAGCTTATGGAAAATCATTAAGGAAAAGATTGGACCTGTTCAACAGGTATGGTATTCTATTCCACAGAGCATACTAAAGGACGAATTTAATTCTTCCTCATTTGGTTTTCACTTTACGTTCATCTCTGAAACGCTATCTTCCATTGGAAAATTGTAGAAAAACGTATTACTATTAATAAAATATACGTTCTGCACGTAATCAAATAGAAATAGCGTATACATGTAAATATATACTCTCGTGTATTTATTTAATTCTCAGTCAGTGATTGTTCCACGTATAAATTTGTTTACAAACACAACGAGCTGAGAATTGGCGAATCGAAGACGTCTTATATTGTATTTGCTATTTTTTTTTGCCGTGAGAAACTGTTAGAGTGGTAACAGCAAATATAATAATGTAATAATTATGGAAATCACCTAATACTCTTACATATTGTGCGACCATGTAGACTTTGATAGTTGGAAGCGTAATGATGAACAGCAACAAGAGATAAGTATTGCTACTACCGATTTTATACTAAGTATAAGCTTTGCTTGAATTTATTCGATTTTGCTAACACTTTCGATTTTCAAATATAAATAATAATAAACACGAGTATAGGCAGATTGRCTTAATTATTATCAATGTCTGTCAATCATACTTAGTATGCTCTCTATACAATGTATGAATAAGACAAAGTATGAATAATTCAGTGATTCGGTTGCGTAAACAAATCGTTATTGAGTATACTTATTTACATGTTTAATATTTATAAAAAAAATTATATAAGTAATAATAATTGCACAGTAATCCTGTTGTAGTTATTAAGCGTGTTGGCAAAGAATGTAGAAAAATCATATTACAGGTAATACTTCAAGTTTTCAGTTTGCATCTAATTTCATTAATTTGCTTTAAGCTGACAATCGAAGAATACTTTGTCTTATTATTTATTACATAATTAAATTAAAGTGTGTTGTTCCGCATTGTATTTAAATAACAGATTCGTGAACTAGGCGTCTTATGCAATAAAATATGAATATAGCAGGCTTAATCATGTGAGGTTATTAGGTCGAAATCGTAGGTATTTTATTTTAATATTTAAATATAAGTTTGGACATTTATATGTACATCCAAAATCCTAATCTACCATTTTAAAATTACTAATATACTATGTCCTCCAAATACTCAAATGACACCGTCGTTTGCGGAATAGCCAAAAGTCCCACGGAGCTAAATCAGGCGATTGCAGTGGTTCCAGCACGATGTTGGTTGAAGATTTGGTGAAAGACTCACGAAGAATCAATGCATTATCGGCATGCCAAAACTAAGGGTTGTCAGTCCATAATTTCAGTATCTTTTTGCGAAGAGCTTCGCGCAAACGACGCAGAATATTCAAATAGTATTCTTTGTTGACTGTTCGGTCAGTCGGAAGGAATTCGGAATGCACCACACTTCCATAATAGAAGGAAACTGTCGATATTCGGCCGATTGATCTTCTGTTCTCGGGTCGTAAGCATTGATCCAAGTCTCATCATCAGTAATAATAAATTTCATGACATCTTGGAATTTAATGAGACACTAATGATGTTTCAAAATGGTTTTCACTATTCCTTCGATATTTTAACGATGCCATTAAGATCTCTGAATGTTAATCATCTATTCTCAAGCATCAATTCCTTTATTTTATTGACTGTTAATCATCAGTGCTGTTGATGGCCGCCTAGGACGTAGTTCGTCGTCAAAGTGTTTTCGGCCCCTTATCACCGAAAGCCTTTTCCAACATTCTGCATGTTTCGGAATCAAAAATTTGATTCGACACACAAAATTTAATGGAACTTATTTTTGAATAATTTCACTCATCATATGAATCGCTGAATGCAGTTTATGTACTTCAGAAATACAAGGGTATACCAAAACTAATGATTATTTTGATGTGACATTTGGTATAAATGTCACTAACAGTCATACAAACCTAGAAAAGTAATATTTTGTTGAATGGATTTTCGCTCGAAATTTAAATTAAAAAGTCTTACTATTTTTTGCCCACGTCACATTAAAAAAGGACTAGCAAAAGGTCATGACCATATATAATATAGCGTTTTTGGAAGTGACATTAAGATGCCTTTCATTATGACCGGATATTTAACTAAAAATTACTTGAAGTGATGGATATTATTCTATATATTAGTATCATACTTAGGTAAATCTAGGTGTAGGTATTGCTGTGATGGAGAATTAATTAATTGCATTGAATCATTTTACTACTTTTTATTGTATGTTGAACTAAATATTTCTGAAATCGTAAAAAGAATTTCGAATTGACATATTTTGTATCAACAACCTTGGGTAAACTAGCCTAGAAAAATGCTATCACCACTAACTTCAGCGTATCGAAATTAACTAAAATAAAATTATTTAGAGGCGTGTTAAAACATTTCGTTGCGTGCATGGCATATTTGTTGCAATAATAGTGATTTCCGTGCAAGTTTAGAAAAATTTAAATTGTAAACACTACGTACATATATAAATATAATATGATTGTATGCCTAATTTAAAATTTTCATAATTTCAGTAATTTTGTAGTACGCAATTCTAGATACGTAGTATTAAAAATTACCTCAAGTCATCGTATTTCGAAGCAATCTTAAAATGCGGAAAATAATTAAGCCTCGCTTATCTCAAGCACATGTTCAAGTTTAGTCACTTTAAGTGGTTAAATAAAACTTACTATACACATATGTATATAGTACTAATATTTTTTTATTAGTTATAGCTATTGTATTATTTTTTTGCCAGCGATTGTAGGTTATAGCTGGTCATTGCCTTTGCCCGATCATTTGTCAACGACGCTATTAAAACAATAACAATATAGACGAAGCGCACAAACGAACTTGTAGACACATATGAATGAAAATAGCCACCATGCAAATGGGGTTCATTTGAAAACCCAGTCACGTTTGGGAAGTATGCTAAAAACGTGTTAAACTCAAGCAGTCATAGAAATATATTTATGCATCTGTATATGTGGCCATTTTCTTATAAATGCTTGTATCATAAATATACAGAAGTGAAAAATGCATACAATCAATTAAAAGTGAATTGAATTAAGCTTCATTAAATAGAAATCAATAGAAAATAATTTAAAAAATTATCTGGTATTTGCGACAAAGATCACCTTCAATTGTCAATTTATTCTTGGAATTTAAATATCAATTATCAAGAAGATATTGAGAGAAAAATTATTTCTTGCATAGAATTTATCTGTAAAAGGTAAAAAATGTAGGGAATATTGCTATTTATTTTGTTGCTTTTACTTATGTTCAGATCAGACACCACACTCTCACTTATGTTTTCGTGATGCCATAAGTCCTTAGGGCGATAAATGGTAATGGATTTATTTCATTCGTCAGGTGTAACTCTTCAACGAATCGAACAAACTGTACCAGAAACTCATATAAACGGGCAGCAATTGTGGTGCAACCCTGCGCTAACCTGTCTTCAGATGCATGCCCAATAACGTTATGGTTTTTCTTAGTGGATAAATTATTTTTTCTTGTCGAAAATGTTGCTATTATCTTGTTTTTGAATTATTTTTATTGATTTTAAATCTTCAGTTTTAAAAATACAAAAAAAAAATATAAATCTGAATTTTCATTTCTTTTTTAAAACATACCCAATTTAAAAATAATTTAAACAAGAAAAAACGTTAACTTCAGTTGCACCGAAGCTAAATACCCTTCACAGGTGCATTTCTGTTAGTAATTGTGTGTTCAGTTTGTATGGAAGCTATATGCTATAGTAATCCGATCTGAAAAATTATTTCGGAGATTATATTATTACCTTAAGCAGTAATCCAAGTCAAATTTCGTGAAGATACCTTGCCAAATGTGAAAGTTTTCCATGTATGTACTTGATTCCGATTGTTCAGTTTATATGGCAGCTATATGTAATAGTTAACCGATCTGAATAATTTCTTCCGATATTACATTATTTTTATGAAAAATAACTCTTACCAAATTTCGTGAAGATATATCGTCAAATGAGGAAGTTTTCCATACAAGAACTTGATTCCGATCGTTCAGTTTATATGGCAGCTATATGTTATAGTGGTCCGATATCGGCAGTTCCGACAAATGAGTAGCTTCTTGAAGAGAAAATGRYGTTTGCAAAATTTCAAAACGATATCTTAAAAACTGAGGGACTAGTTCGTATATATACAGACAGACGGACAGACAGACAGACGGTCATGGCTAAATCGAATCAGCTCAACATACTGATCATTTATATATATACTTTATAGGGTCTCCGACGCTTTTTTCTGGGTGTTACAAACTTCGTGACAAAATTAATATACCCTGTTCAGGGTATAAATATGCGTAACAAAACTTTGTAGCATTAACGATAGCGGCTATGAATGACAATATAACTTTTTAAATAGGTATCCGCAAAACTCTACTACGAATTCATCTCGATAAGAAGCAGCGAGCAAAGAAATGACGAATGGGAGACAGCTATGTACTCATTACCTACTAAATGTTTGGATCTTCTAGACATTCTGAGTCTAATACACATCTAGATTTCAGGAGTAAAGAAGAAAAGTGTTTCACTTCTAGATGATGCACAGATATAATATATCCTCTTTCAGCTTTCTTACTACATACATACGTGGGTACCAGTTTAACAGTAATTAGTTAGTACCCTATACTTAGATATATCCTACTGAGAACCTTCATAAATAGGACACAATTCACTCCCGAATTACCCAGCAGGATCACCACATGAGCTCAGCGAACTAAGTGTTACTAGAGGATTCAAGAATAAACCGCAAAAAGACACGGAAACTTCCAGTTTAATAATAATGACATGTATCTGAGCATCCAGCATTTTCTGCTCGTCATTTGAGTTTCAAGACAGTGAATCTCAAAAAAGAAAAAAAATCTATTAAGAAAAAAAAAAAATCAATTAAGAAAAATTACCGGAATACTATACTGCTTCTTATTGACCGGAAGTAATTCCACATTATTCGGATCGATGATAGTGTCAATTCCAACCGTCCATTTTGCTAAAAGTTTTGAACGACTTGAATTAGCACATTGTCGTCTTCTTCAACATCTATAACTACTGGTGTCTTCCCTGTTGATTACTTATAATTCGTCATAAATACGTGAATTGTTTAGTCTCCAATATGGTCTATGTTTTTAAGCTTCATTTGGATTTTGACATCAAGTTTTGTTTTGGTAAAATTTTTAAAAATGTCTCCCTAAATAAATTTGTTGAATCTTAATGACATGTCACCCCGATAGTTTCCGGTCAGGTTACTGTTTTAAGGATCTTTTCAATCCAAGGAGAACATTTGTTAACAGTGGCTGAAGACGGAAATGGAATCCCATGATAACTATACCGAAATAAAATGAACACTGCCATTCATATAGAGTCTATCTGATTTATGGTCATTATATAACTCCACTGATGCTCATGCTGCTGCACCATTATGGCATATGTCTTCCATACAAACTGGTCATATTATTCTAAAAGAAGACATCTGTGCTTCGGTGCAATCGAAGTTAACATTTTTTCTTCTTTGAAGTCAAATTCACAAACTAAGCATATTTGGCTTCGTAATTTTTGCAGTTTGCCGGTAGCTGTTAAACTATTTGAGTAACAATAACAGCTCTGTTAATAACACGGCCTAATGTTAACCACTTTGTTTTACTAGATTTTTCAGAATGTATTTTAATATTTTTTAGAAGAATCAACAAAATTTACAAATATATATAAGAATTTCAGTATACACGTGCGTAAATATGTATATATTTTTTAAATAGAGATGCCTGTATAGATATTTCACTACGTGCCGGTTGACACATAAATTTCGGAATGGGTTAACTATTGTTAATTTTAACAAAAAAAAAAAAATAAAAAAACTAGATTTTCTAATTAAAAAGAAGAAGAATTAAAGAATATATATATATATATTTTGTGTAAATGTGTTTAGCTGTTGTACCCAGGTGCGATTACTCATTGCGATAAGAATGTCAACTCAAATATTATTCTTATATACATATGTTTACATAAGTATGTTGTATGTAATACATACTAATATGCAAATCATATAATATATATGAATGTACATATAAAACATCATCTGTATTTACTAATTAACATCCGTTGTATGGAAGTACGTATGTATGTATGCAAATATGTATTGCAAATTGATTCATAGCAAAAAAAATGTTTATTTGTTGAAGTGATAAGCACATATGTAGGTATGTATGTATATGAAATATTCTTGAATATCATATGAATACATACCCAGCAAAGTGACGTTTTTAGCTATTTACAGCAGTTTTTTGCTCATCTACAATATAAGTTAGTAATACTCATTAGCATTGGCTTGTATTATAGGTATTTGAAAATAAAAAAAATTATAAAAGCAATTTGCCAGTTGAGACGACCTTAAAAACAAATATTTATCTTGCACTTTAGCACGTGCTAAATTTTTCTTGTTATTATTATTTTTCAATGTTTTCATTTCTTCCGTACGATTTTGCAGTGAAGAAAACCATATTGAAAGGAATTTCGGGTACATTCAGTTCTGGCCAACTGACGGCGATTATGGGGCCCTCGGGGGCGGGCAAGTCGAGTTTGATGAATATTTTAACAGGTCTAACGTAAGTTTGATTATATAAACCTATATTTAATAAAAAAAAGTAAAATTATTTTATTTTCATATATTTTTTATTTACATACATACATATATACATTGTATATGAGTCTATAAACAGATTTATTGCTTTATACCTATTTATATATAATTATATGTAAACAACATGCATACATATATATAGATATATTAATGAATTCAAATGAAATCAATTATTAATAAATTATATTTAATTACTTTGTAATTTGCTTTTAGTATACTCATAAATTCAACGATTGTAGCAATTTACAAAATTTATAATTTTTATGGTACGGTTGGCGTTTTGCTTTTATAAAAGTCTCAGCTTCATGTTACCATTCTCTTTAAGCTCTGAGCACCACAAAAATTGGAGTGGGATTAGCCTCTTTAAGATAACAAACCTCTCGTCACTACCTTAAACAAACAATATATTAAGGGTCAGATATTAAATAGCTTTATAGTTTCTTTGGAAACTTAGATTTTTAAACATTTTGGTTAGATCGTTCCCATCTGGTCATTGTATTAAGATTTCTTTCAATGCATAGAAAACAATTGTTAATAGTTGCTGAGGATCAATTGCGGAAACCAATGCTAATTTTACCAAATTAAATGGACTGAACAATGTCATTCATAGGTAATCTCACTAATATTGCTCGCTTTCACATTCTTGTGCCACATTTGAAAACTGATTGGACATGAGATATTGATCTAAAAATTAACACACTTTTCATACACCCATATCAGATATTAGATAAATCTGCTATATAAACTGATCTATCAAAATCAAGGCCTTGTATGGGAACTCCGAACAAATTTTTTCAATTGGACCACTTTACATATATTTAGTTGCCATACAAGTTTGCACAATCAAAAGCATCAAAGTTAAGTTTTTGTATGAAAAACCTTTTTAATTGGGAAGGTATTACAACAGGTCAATTGAAAAATTCACGGCCTAGCACAGTAAAACACATTTTTGGCGAAACATTTTTTGGGTGAAACACTGATTATAGAAACACTCCAGGTTTTCGATACTGTTTTCGTTGATTATTTGTCCTTTGCTTCAAAAGAGGCCTTAGTTTCAGCAATATCAGCAATTCATTAGAAAAAAAATTTCTTCCCAAAGATCATTCTTTTGAGATCTGAGTACGGGTGCCAGATCTGCAGAATACGGTGGATGTGGAAGCTATTCGAAGGCCAATTCATTGATATTTTTTCGTTTTCACTGGCTTGTGAGGCTGTGCATTGTCTTGATGATACAGCATTTTCATTTTCTTCAAATGCGGCAGTTTTTTGGTATTTCCTTTAAACAGTCCAATAACATATCATTATTATAGTAGTGAGTTGACTCGCACAGTTGACAGTCCTTGGCCTGATAAAAATCCGGATCCGTACCGGCTTCGTAGACCCGACTATTGTGGAAATGGAGCGTTATTATATTATAGTCGCTGTTGATGGTTCTTATTTCAAGGTTTTTCAAGGAAGTCAATAAAAATTATTCCATACGGATCCCAAAATACAGACGTCATAGCCGACTGTTGCGTTTTTCCACGTTTTGGAGTGGGTTCTTTGTGTGCAGTCCACTCGGATGACTGTCGATTGGACTTCGGAGTGAAATGATTGCGTCATGTTTCATTCATCGTCACATATCGACACAAAAACTGGGGCTTCGAATTATCAATTCATAGTCGTTGATTTTGGTCAATGGTGAGCTCGCGCAATACCCTCTTTACACAGATTTTTCTCATACCTTAACATTCGTAAATGATATACGCGTTCAGCTGATATTTTTAGAACGCCTGCTATCTCTAACAACTTCACTTTATGTTCAGCCAAAATTATTTTGTGGATGTTTTTGATGTTTTCGTCGGTAACAACATCTTTTGGGCAATCACTGCGTGCAACGCCTTTGGTGCTCATTTCACCACGTCTGAACTTAGCATACCAATCCTTGATGGTTGATTTTCTTGGGGCAGGAAACCCGTCATCAAGTTTTGTCATCCAAATTATTGCTTTAACTGTATTTCTTCCCTATAAAAGGAACAATTTATCACCGTGCAAAATACCTTTTTATATTTACATATATAACTTTGGTACAACCGAAATTAATGTTTTTTTGCTGAATTTAATCTGGATTAAAAAATTTCAGACGTATTAGTAAAATTAATCAAGTACATTTATGAGAATGAAAACTATATTCTACAAATTTCTCTTTTATTATTCTAGTACAAAAGGTGTTAACGGTAATATACAGTTTGGTGACTCCCCAACTAAATCGCGCAAACTTTGTTGTTATATAATGCAAGATGATCATTTTCATTCATGGTTTACCGTTGAGGAGACAATGCTGCTGGCGGCTCAATTGAAAATCTCTAACGATTCGATGAATATGAAGGAGAAGAAAATGCTGGTAAGTAACTATAATATTCATAATACATAGTTTCTTCCCAGAACCCAAAAATTTCGATGTTTTATGGAAACTAATAAAGTTCAAAATCGAAAAGTAACTGCATTTACAATTTTAATTTTCAGATTGAACATTTATTGGACACCCTAAAGTTATCACAGACCAAATCAACACGCGCTGGAAACCTATCTGGCGGCCAAAAGAAACGCTTATCCATCGCCTTGGAGTTAATTGATAATCCAGCGGTGCTATTTTTGGATGAGCCGACAACGTAAGTACATTTCTAATTGAATTTTATTGACTTTGGTATTTACTGAACTAGTACTTTTTTCTAATATACATATTTGTATATATGTAGTATAATTTTTCAAAAATATATATAACTAATTGTTTTAAATTTTTTATACACAGTGGCTTGGATAGCTCAGCATCTTCTGACACAATACAGTTACTACAAACCTTGGCCAATGAGGGACGCACAATCGTTTGTACAATTCATCAGCCCTCGTCACATGTTTATAGCCTATTCAATCAAATTTATGTGCTGAGTCAAGGTTGCTGTACGTACCAGGGTACGCCGCATAATACAATTGATTTTCTAAGAACGGTCGGTTTGGAATGTCCAACTTATCATAATCCAGCTGATTTTCGTAAGTATGAAATAATTTCATTTGCTGCGTTACTTCCTCCATAGTTTCTAGATCAATTTTAGTCCGATAGTTTGCGCCTATCTGTCGAATATGTATATAGGATTTGCTGATATAAAATCGAACTGACTTGCTGAAAATAAGAGTCTACAAAGTAAAGGGTTATCCAATAATTGCACATCTAGGTGAAGGTTCTATTTAGTGAGAAGTAACCGGTTTAGATTTCCCGTATTATAAGACAGCCTTTTTTCCATTCTGAAGTTAATTTCATAAAACCACTCTTTTAGAGTCCTCCGTCAATATTGGCTACCAACTGGGGCTGTCAATTTTCACCAGCTTTACTTGAGGCTTTTCCCCCGTAAAATCATTCGTTACAGACGGGAAGTGGTAGTAATAATTTATGCTAGATCCGGATCATAAGATGGAAGCCTAAGAATCTCAAAATCAAGTATGAGGAGTTTCTGGCGAGTTATTACCGATGTGTGTGGTCTGGCGTTGCCTTAATAGCACACGATTGCTCTCCCATGGACGAAAACTAGCTGATTCGGGGCGCATGATTCCTTTGGACGACAGTGCCAACTTTTGACGATACAACTCCAAATTAAAAGTCCGACTGTAGAGGATTATCTCATAAGATTTGATTCTCTGGCAATCCCACTAAATATACCATATAGCAAAACCTTTCTGACCGTAAATTTTGGCTTGGGCACCTTTTTTGCAGGCTCACCGCGATTAAATCGCCACAGTCAGTAACCAACGATCGTACTCGACGTTTTATAAAATTTTTTGACATCAAAATTATTGGAACGGAATCGACGCAACCAAAACTAGACATGATTGGCTGTAACAATATCAGTTTAGTGAACAGTATTCACAATTCTAGTTCTCTACATTGGGTTTTCGTCTTTACCGAAGGATCCGTGAAAAATATGGCGTATTTTCTCTCTACTTTTCTTATCTTATCTTAATTTTTCTAACGTCATAAAAAGTAAATCACTTATGCAAAACAATCTATTGGAAATATATATAATAGATATTGACAAGATCACTAATTTTGCTGGTAACTCAACTTCCTATAATTAACTATCTGCTCCAGGGGTTGTTGAGAAATTAGAGTCTACCTAACTTTGCTTTTCTTTTTCTACCAAAAAGTTTACGCGGGTGCTGCGGTGACAGCAGCGCTCAGCGAAGGATGGCTAATGTATCTCAAAGTTTATTGTGTTGGCTCGGAAAAAATGAAATACCCCGACTCCAATTGTCGATTAGGATGTAACTCGTGACCCCAAGTATGAACGAATCTCGTTAACTACACACTGCATCTTCCATCTTCTTTAGAAACATTACCACTAAAATAAACTTATCTATTAATAATTCTCTTTATATGTATCTCTTCAGTGCTGGAGTGCGTGAATGGTGATTATGGCGATCACACTGATGACTTAGCCGCTGCTGCCCGGCAGCCTAAATGGCGATGTGATTATGATGCGGAGCAACCGCAACACTTAGACGGTTTAAATGGCGTACAAATCGTGAAAATTATGGAGTCTAAGCGGGGTGGGGTGAAGCAACTATCGCCATCGATAACACCGCCAATATCTGCGACAAAACATGTTTACCCGCCGCCGGAATGGATGCGTCTGTGGCTGCTAATCGGTCGTTGTCATGTGCAGTTTTTCCGTGATTGGGTGAGTGCAAAAAAGGCAAATATGGAATGAGAATGTGACAAGAGGAATAGAACATTTGCTGATTATTTTTCTATTCGTTATGCTGTTATTGTTGTTTTTGTTTAATTCCCCAGACGGTGACCTACTTGAAATTGGTTGTGCATATTATTTGTGCTATACTGATTGGACTGCTGTACGGCGACTCCGGTTCAAATGCGACAAAGCAGATTGCAAATTTAGGTTCATTCACAATACATAATACTTATTTATGGTATACGACAATGATGCCGGGCCTATTGAGATGTGAGTATATACATACATACGTATAAACGATATAAATTTGAAAAAGGTAGTTTGTTGTTAGAAGTGTTCTGAATTAGTTGTTAAAGCGGCAGTGTGACAGTTTTGGACGGATGAAATCCGGATCCATTCACGCTTCGTAGGGCTGACTCTCACGGAAACGGTATTTGAGTTGAGTGAGCATATGCAAATGTAAGCAACTAGTTGTCCGAGTATTTTCAATGACTGGAACCTCTAAGGCAATAGCCATGGCTTTCGAGTTCTTTCCATAACATTTTTACGACATGGGTTCTAAATCTAGGTGCACAACTCCAGCTATGGAAAAAGTTTCATGGATCAGTTTTATAAGAATTCCGTATGCTCCAGAAGAGACCCCCACATACAGCCTCACCTTATGGTGGGCAGACCCTGTAAATTTGTTGAGCCGATAAATTGATTACCCGAGTTCCTCAGGGTTTGGATACCGGGTCTCACTCAAAGTAGCTCAGGTTTCCAGGGTTGTTTGAGGCGGACGCCGGATTAGAGGTTGAGTACAATGTTAGCTTAACCGTTTTTTCCCGAGAACGAATTTGAAGCATTCGAGAGAGCTGTTTTCTGGTAAGGTCTTTGGAGTCGTCAGTGTGAACACTGAATATCGAAAATGGAAGATATATTGCCCACGTATCCAATGGAAAAACCAAGTGTATAGCGACCTTCTTTGAATTCGATGTGACCTCCCTAAGAATAGAGGTAACTGGCGCAGTTTAATATACTCGGCTCAAACCGTCAACGGTTGTAGTGCCAAAGAAGAAGAAGAAGAAACCTCTGAGTAATACTATAATAACCTAAGGACACTACACGACCGGCGTACTTGCAATGGGGTTTCAAAGTTGTCTCGAAGAAGGCTACGTAAAAACACTTAATTCTCGACTATAAGAATTTTGCTAGACTGAAGTTACCTCTATAAGAGCGCCCACAACAAATTTGTGAAGGGCTTCAAGCGCTTCGATGATATCTGTAGATTTCTTGATCTATACCTAAGGGTCGGTAACGTCAACTAGAAATATTTTTTTTGATTTCATTTCCGAGTAAAAATAATTTTAGTTATGTATATTGTAAATTACCATAATAATTTTCTTTTATTTTAGTTCCTCAAGAAATCTGCATAGTCAAAAAGGAAACATTCAACAATTGGTATAAATTACGAACGTATTATATGGCGACGCTGATAACGTCTACACCGGTGCACGTAAGTTTGAAATTTTGAATTTTAAATGCAACAAAATTATATAATTTAAAGGCCTAAATGATGATCTTCAAATCAATTTCTAACTCTATCTGCCATAGATCATATTCTCCATGACATATATCACCATTGCCTACCTGATGACCGATCAGCCATTTGAAATTGAACGTTATGCTAAATTCATGTTGACAGCTGTCGTGGTGACGATATGCGCCGATGGACTGGGTGTGCTATTAGGCACTATATTGAACCCGATTGTGAGTACTTTAAACTAATAACTGAATGTGACGAAAGTAAAATAATTTCATAAATTTTTTAAGATCTATAGAAATAAGTCTCTATTAATTTCTTCAACTTGTCTCCTTTGTAATACTATCTTCACTGTTCCTTTTACTCCCAACTCGTTGCACAAAATATATATAATATATAATAGTATATTATTATTTTTCATAAATATATCTTTTTACTAAAAATATATTTTTTTACAGAACGGTACATTTGTGGGTGCTGTCTTGACTTGCTTCATGTTGATATTTTCCGGTTTTCTTATACTGCTCACACATATGTCGAGCTTAATGCGCTTGCTATCGTACTTATCACCAATTCGTTATGCGCTCGAGAGCATGGTCTTGGCGATATATTCTAATAATCGTGGGAATATTTATTGCCCGATGGATGTGGTGTATTGCCATTTCAAGTGAGTACTAACATGGAAATATATTGTTATTCGGGTTGACACGAACATTTAGTAATTTCGTTTGTAAGAATGCGAGGAAAGCAAAACTAATGTAAAAAAAAAATTACACATTTTTTTAACAATTCCTGAATTTTGAAAAAAAAAAATTTTAATATTAATTTGCAAAGATTAATAAATATTATATTTGCAATTTATTTTTAAGCATAATTTTTATAGCGTGAACAAGCTATATTAAGCTTGCTACGATGTTTTTAACATCCAGAAGGAAACGTCGTAAACTCAATACAATTCAAAATACACATTTATATGAAAGAATAAATTCGTGTCCATCACTGTTGAAAAAAATATTATGTAGCAATTTCTTTATTCTCTGCATATTAGTTTACTTCAAATACTTTACACTTTTTAATTATTTTATTTTTCTTATAGAAATGCCAGCACAGTGCTACGCAGTTTCGGTATGGAAAATGGAAATTTCGGCATGAATATATTAATAATGTTTCTTCAGCTGTCGACTTTTAAGGGCTTAGCTTATGTTATGCTAAAGCGAAAACTACGAGCGTAGAATATTTTATATTATAATTAATATAATATAATGTATTTAATATATACATATGTATATATAATTATAGGTGATATAAGTATGAAATACTGTTAATTTACTAGTTATATTTTATATACGCACATACATATTTGTTTATAAAATAAGCTACGGTGTATTGTTAGAAATATGTAGTAAAAGTAATTAAGCATTAGTGCTACAACAAAAACCACAAAAACCGAAATACGAAATAGTTCAAAATATGCATAATATATATATTAAACTACTGCAAAACCAGCCAAAAATTAGCAAATATTAAACAAAGTAAACGATATTCTAAAACAACTAAGCCTTTGCAGCATAAACAAAGCCGTTATAATTGAGAATAAATAATAATTACTTGCAATATTTATTTTTTTAATAAGAAGCAAGAGCTTTTGAAGTCATATTGTTATAAATATTTACAAATGTCAACTGAATACTTAAATATTTAATATAATGAACAAACGGAGAAATAAAAAATAAAAAACGACAAAAAGAAAACAAAACCTAAATGTGATAGTATTATAATTTTAAATAAATGTAAAATGAAGTTAAATAAATATTTTTTATAACACATGTGACTACATTAGTATGTTCATATGTAAAGCTATAAAGAGTAAAATTGCGATGCTGTAAGCAAAAATATATTTTTATATTATACAATAAATATAGTTTGTGTGATAAGACGTTCGTGCCTGCATACTTACTCTATAAATATATGTATTTATATATGCATATAAGCACTTCTATGTATTTATGTGCACATGTACACATACAAATTAAACAAATGCACTAAAGTTTATAAGTGAAGGAATTTTTGAAGTTGTTCTGTAAGCAGGTGAATACAAAGTAAACGAATAATAATAGATAAGTTATTTAGTGAGCGTTGTTAGTTTCATATTTTTATCAGCACGCAAATGTTAAATTAATAATAAATGGAGTGATTTGGAAGAAAACGTTATTGTCCTCTCAATTTTACTGTTAATGCTATCTATAGTTAAACGAAAGCTCTTTGAACGGTCATTATATGACAGTTATATGCAATAGTTTTCCGGTATCAGCGTTGGCGACAAGTGTGGAAAGGATGTAAAAAAAAAACTTGAAAAGCTGGTTTTATTAGTATAATTTAACATCACTTGTCATTACAAGAATAAATTCTGCAATAATTATAATTTTAATTGTTTAAATTTAATTATTATGCTTTTCCAACTGCATCTTTCTTAGCATTTCGTTATGCTCGTACTTTTTCTGTGCATCTTCAGCTTCGAGCTTAAACATAAGACGTTCATGATTGTATTTTTCTTCTTTCTCTTTCAGTTCCATTAGCCTCATAATACGGTTATGTTCCAATTTTTCCTTCTCATCCGTTAACTGCAATTTTAGAATTTTCCTTTGAGCTAACAATTCTTCAAACTTTTCAGCAGCTGACAACTCTGAAATTGAATTGTAGATATTACTTAATTAATTTCAAGAACCAAACCAAACTCTAGATACGGGGATGTCTGTTATTTCCACCAAGTTGATTTTTACTTTTAGCGCATAAATTCAGGGAATGTTTGCAAGAATAAATATATCGATTTGAGTAATAACGGACCCCCTACTATATACTCACGGTTCAATTGAGTATCAGAAACATTTTTTAAAGTGGGTTCAGCTTCAGGACCAGTTTTTTTCTCTTCTGTGGGATCATTTCGTGTTTCTTCAAACACTTTATAGCAGTCGTTAAGGGCAGCCCCAACAAAATATTTTACTTTTTGAATAGTACCGCTTTCCGGATTATCTCCTTTATGCAAGTTATAGCTTTCAGTAATTCTATGATTAAGAACTTAAAGTAAAATGCATTTATTTTTTAGTAATGTGATAAGTTAAACATGATAATCACCTTTACTTAAGATGGGACTTTCAGCAACAGTATTATCGTAAAACAGGTTGAAACAGTCATTAAATGTTGATCTGACTAACCTTTTTACCTTTCTGTTACAAACATCGTCTTTCTCTTCTATTAAAAGATAATACCATTAAATTTAGTACGTAGTACAAAAATACAATCACCTTTGGGCCAGCTAAGGTTAAGTTTTACATATTCCTTTTCGACTATACCCGAAATAAGCTCCTGATAAGGATCATTATTTTCACGACTCAAATCCGGACTGTGGGCACGTTTTTCTATATCAAAACCCATTATTTATATAAAACAACTTTAAAATTATATTTTAAAATGCTTAATTACTTACTATAGGAACACTTTGTAGATCTTTGGGCTACCTTTTTTAAATGCCTGTAGCAAATTTGCAAGTCATCTAATGTACGAATACTACTTTTGGTGGTGTTATTAAACTCGTATGATAGATCCGTCCAAGCTTTTTGCTTTTGCCTATGACTATTTGCGTCGACCGATTTTTGTTCAATTATTTGTCCATACTTTGTTAGAAGATTCAATAGAAGCATTATTTCATCTTCGGTGAAATGTGGAGCATCTTCCAGTCTTTTTTCCTCTTTCATTGTTTTATTTATATTTTCCATATATTTTATAAACAAAAGCTGCCGTGATTTTACGTAGATTTAAAATTTGGAACTTTAATACTTGCCTCAATACAACTTCAAAGTTTAAAATATTGAGTGAATTGATAGTCAAAAATTACAACGGTATAACATAACCGCAAATGTAAATAACAAAATATACCGCAAGTAAACCGAGTTAACAAGTCCAATTATTTTGAAAAACATTTGCTAGGGTTGCAGTCATAATAGTGAAATTATTTTCAATTTTATTAATTCAGTTGATACGGTAGCTCTTGCATATGCACTGCATTATCGCTCGAATACAATTTACCAGCTGTCATTCTGATTTTCGCAATAAACGTCAAAAAACGAAAGCAGAGCAAAAAAGTTTTCTCTGATATAAAACTAAATACTTTATTTAATTTAAAAAAGTGTATATTCCGCACAAATAATAATGTTTAAATCAAGTTTTGAAAAAAATCTTGGTAAGCAAAATATAAATATTAGATGCTTTAACGTAAAATATATTACATTTTACATTCTAATGACTCAGCAACCAGAGTGCAGTTTAACGATAAGTAACAAATAACTGCAACGGGTGGGTCAGCGAACTGCCTTCTCACTATCAGCAGAGCATTTAACTTCTGTAATTTTCGTTCAAGTAACTAATATTTTCCATAATTGTAGAAAATGCTACAAGCCATCTGCGTTTGGAGCCCGAATGGCCTTCTATTCTACTCATTTGTGACGAGATTAATCAAAAGGATGTCTCGTAAGTGCAAAATATTTACATATATACTTATTTGTGTTAGTTGCATCTATATGTACAATACATATGTGAATATGATTGAATGTTACAATTTCCGTATTTAAATGCGCATTAAATTTGGTTAATGTTTTATCTTTATATTTTAGTCCCAAAAATGCTTTTGCAGCGATTAAGAAAAAAATGAGTTCACCGAATCCACATTCGGCTTGTTATGCGCTATTGGTGTTGGAAAGTGTAGTAAAGAATTGTGGCGCACCAATGCATGATGAGGTTTTTACCAGGGAGAATTGTGAAATGTTTAGTAACTTTCTGGAGCAGACACCACATGAAAATGTGCGTCAGAAAATGTTGGAATTGGTGCAGACTTGGGCATATGCATTTCGGTCATCTGAGAAGTATCAATCAATAAAGGTTAGTGTAAGCAAGTAAGCAGGGAAAATAAAATAAAACTAAGAAACAAAGTTAAAACGAATGTTATGCGTATAAGCAATGACTGATAATTCTGTGCAGATAAAGAAATTTCACAAAACATAAAGAAAGTATATAAAGGTACTTAATTGAATTACGACTTTCAATCCTACAAGGTCTGAAAACTTGTTCGCTTGAATATAATTTAAATTTTTACGCTTTTAAAATGAGTACTGAATCGGAATTAAGCGTGGATGAAGAAGTGAAAATTTTATGCAACCAAATAAAAATGATATACTGAGTAAATTTTTTTCTTTTTAGGACACCATGACTATACTAAAGGCTAAGGGACATACATTCCCCGAGCTGAAAGAAGCAGATGCTATGTTCACAGCGGACACTGCGCCAATTTGGGCTGATGGCAAAGTTTGTCATCGCTGTCGCGACGAATTTAACTTCACCAATCGTAAGCACCATTGCCGCAATTGTGGTCAAGTATTTTGCGGTAAATGTTCCAGCAAACAATGTCCACTACCTAAATTTGGCATTGAAAAAGATGTAAGCGTGTTCGGGCAATAAGTTTAGAACAATTTTTCTTTAAATGTATTAATTTTTGTTTAGGTGCGCGTTTGTGACGGGTGCTATGTAATGTTGCAACGCCCGAATGCCAAGCCAGCAGTACGTACAGCAGCTGAGAGTGATTTGCCAGCTGAATATGTCAATAGTTCGCTTTCACAGCAAGTGCAGGTGAGTGTGAGTGTGCAATTTTCGTAAAATTATTTATAATATTTGCAATACAAAGGATTTTAAGCTAATTTATCATATTTGTTTATAGACGCCACCACGTAAAACTGAACAAGAATTAAAAGAAGAAGAAGAACTGCAGCTAGCTTTAGCGCTGAGTCAATCGGAGGCCGAGGAAAAGAAGAAACAACAACAACAACATGTAAGTTAGAACGTTATCTTATCGAAACCTCGCTAAACAAAGGCAGAATAAGAGTAAGAGCCCAAATAAAAATATTTTTTTGTATCAATTTACTTTAGTCATTGGCCGCTTACCGTTTGCAACAGCGTTCGCCCAGTCCCGAAGCACCGCCAGCACCCAAAGAATATCAGCAAGAAGAAACAAATCCGGATCTGGCTAAATATTTGAATCGCTCTTATTGGGAACAACGTAAAGTGAACGAATCGCCCTTGGCAAGTCCATCAGCACCGAGCCCAATGCCTACGCCGCAACCGCAAGCACAACAAGCACCTACACAGCCAAAGGTGTTTATATTAAATATGATTAGCCATTTGTTTATACAATAAAGTGTGTTTACTAATTATCATTTTATTCCCAACAGTCAGCTGATGAGGTGCAAATCGACGAATTCGCTGCGAATATGCGCGCACAAGTGGATATTTTTGTTAATCGCATGAAATCGAATTCCAGTCGTGGACGCAGCATTTCAAATGACTCTTCCGTGCAAACGCTCTTCATGAATTTAACCTCATTGCATTCACAGCAACTTTCCTACATTAAAGAGATGGATGACAAGCGCATGTGGTACGAACAATTACAGGATAAATTGGCGCAAATCAAAGACTCACGTGCCGCGCTTGACGTACTACGCCAGGAGCATGTGGAAAAGTTGCGACGCATTGCTGAAGAGCAAGAGCGTCAACGACAAATTCAAATGGCACAGAAATTGGAGATAATGCGCAAGAAGAAGCAAGAATATTTGCAATATCAACGACAGTTAGCGCTGCAACGCATACAAGAACAAGAACGTGAAATGCAGTTGCGTCAAGAGCAGCAGAAAGTACAATATCTCATGGGGCAGACAGCATTCCCCTTTATGCCGCCGGGTGTTGTTGGCGGCCCACAAGGTTCGCCGTCACATCAAATGAATAATGTCTACAATCCTTATGCGTTTAATCCGAATTCACCGGGACCATTAAATGCCGCCGCTGGTGGTGGTGGTGGTGCACAATATAATCAAACAGGTGGTATGATGAATCCAGCTGGTGGACCTATGGCACCAGGTGCCATACCACCAGGTATGTATGCAGGTCAACCGAATCAACAACATCCAGGTATGATGTTGCAGCAGGGACCAATACCACAGCAAGGTATGATGCCGCCAGGTGCACCGCAGATGGGTGACAGCGTGCCAAACATACAAGGTAAGTGAATACAATTAATGTTGACGCTTAAATAGTTTTAAAAAAACTTCTATTCTGTCACTTTTTAGCTCAACAACCGCCAAATTCAGCTTTAGGACCACAACAACAACCACAACATCCTCCGCAGTTGGCGCATGTAATGCTGCAACAACAAAATGTTTTGCAAACTCATCCACCTATACAAATGCCTGCACATCAAGCACAGCATATACAGCAACCACCACAACAACAGCAGCAGCAACAACAGGTACCCCAACAGCAACAGCAGCCGCCACAGCAGCAACCACCACCGCAACAACAAGTGCAACAGCAACAAGCACAGATACAAGCTGTTGCTGCCGCACCCGCACCACCACAATCTGAACCGGAGCCACCAGCCGCCGCCGCCCCCGAAGAACCCGCTACGGCGGAGTTAATAAGTTTTGATTAATCTTACTCACCTACTAAATGTTAAACTTTAAATCAATTTAATAACTAAAAACACATCTATATGCAGACATACATATATACATACATATAATATAATAGTATACAATATTAATCATTCCTTTAACGACTATATATAGTATAAAAAAAAAAAAAAATTACTGAGTTTCAAATTAATCAGCTTTTACTACTTTATATAAGCCAAATACGTGAATGAAAAACGTGAATGCCGAAAATAGGAATTTAATGGATTGGCATCCCAAAATAAATTAGTTAAAAATGTTAAAAAATTTGCAAAATTCATAAAAATGTTTCAGTTTAAAAGTAATGGAATTAAATTCATAAGTGTAGTCGTTTTCGAAAATTTGTTTGGAGCTTTAAGGTGAGTTTTAGGTATTTGCTGGCGGCAATCTATATATACATATAATATAAAATAGAACGGTTCCGCATATCCGTATTTGACCTGAATTTTATCCCGCTAAGGGTGTTATCTCGATAATCTAACACTCTTTGGATCGGTCCCTGTAGTAATTTTTAGGAATACTGGTAAGTTGACGGTTCTTGGCCGGATAGAAATGTGAATTCGTTTCGGTTATTTAGACCCGAGTGTCATGGATTGGATAGGAGATTAGGTCGTTGAGCGTGTGACGGTTTGCAATAAGCTGAACCGAGATTAAGAGAGTATTTGCGTTGCTGATGGAATCTATGGCATATGCTCAAACGTAAACGGTTATCTCTCCAACCTTTCTTTCTGAGTGCAAACTTCACCATAGTATTGCAGTCGGTGGTGTTAAAATTTCGGCTGTCAATAACCCTAAGATTTTAGATGTGACAGCCTTTGCTGCTTCACTCCGCACACAACCGCCATTATTGACAAAGTATAGAGACACAACAAAATTCTAAAGTCCCTTGTCATCAGCACACGGGGAAAAGACGAAAAAAAAAAACGTTGTTGGTAATATACAAGGCAATTGACTGACCGATCCTTAACTACGCCCCATCAATATGGTCACCTGGTTGCAGTGAATCGCAGACGAGGCAATGTCAGAAAACTGCATTCCGGAACTCATCGAACACCTGCATATCTGACACCCTTCCTTATATGGTCGTAACAGTAAGTTTCCTGGGCTTACCGTTTAATGACCTCGATGACAACTTATCTAGTCCTAGCCCTCCCGTTACAACAACAACAACCTTTTATCCAGTACAGATTGCTTTGGGAATGGAGGAAATTGTTAACTCTGACAAAAATGAATCTGTAACTTAGATTGACACCATTACAATCAATAGATGTCAGCCCTTCGTATGGTTATTTGTTACTAGAAAACGAGTTTTACCCATATTAATTTGAACTTCGTTCTACATCAAGAGATCATAGCACTGGGAAATATCCTTTATAAAATAGAGAGCCTTCCCAATTATGACGGAGCTAGAGATTAAATTAGCTTAGAAGGTCCCTCAAGATGTCAGGATACTAAACTTAGACTGTTTTGCGTAGTTCTTTTCACGCCAGATAAAAACTCCTTTAGCTATCAACTAGCGACCAAACGCCTTGAATAATCTGGATATCTAAAAGTATAAGATCCGAAGAGTTTTAGCCTTGAGCAGGCAAAAGCAAGACATTCCAGAAGGCAGCATAGAGATGCACATATCTCATCTTCTTCTAGGCAGTTTGATGCAACTGACATCTGGTAAAATTTTTAACCGTATAAATCCCGATTGGACAGTGTCCAGTTAGAACTTTCACAACCATTTAAATGTGTACATTGCTGGCTAAATATAGAGCTTATAAGCTCTTTGAATTTACGCTGCTTTATGTGCGGTTTTGAGACCAAACCATCCATTAATGAATCGCAAGAAGTCTATGGAGCTCCTACCCGTTCTCATCCTGCAAGTAATGCGACTAAAATACTTGATCTTGCAAGTTCATCAGCTTTCTGCCATAACATTGTGGCCAGACAGACTGTGATATGCTTCTCAAACCTCAAAGAAGGGATCCATACTGGCGACGAAAAGTGTGTTATTTACAAGAATGTAAGGCGCAAGAATGTAAAGATATAAACCGTCTCGAATCACTGCGAAGAAGGGGCCAGAATTGATCAATAGAAAAGGTGTAGTGCGAAACCTCAAACAAGTTTGATGACACACCAAAAGCTTTTGCAACCTAAACAGGATGAGCTACACTCTCACTATATTCTCCAGACTTTACATCTTTGGACCCTTACTTGTTCCGATTTCTGCAAAACTTTTTGTATAGGAGAACCTACACCTTAAATTTGGCATTAAAATCGAGCACATATAATTTTACTCTATAAAATATTTTACACAATAAAAGAATTATTACTTAGTGAACGATTAAACTTAAAATTAATTAAGAAGTTCAAGGTTACTCTCAGCAGTAAGACTGATTGGAACGATTCCGTTTTTGATCTATTGCTTAGGGATATTATAATCAAAAGGTACACCGACGGCTCAAAAACGTCGGAGGGAATTGGCGCAGAAGTCGAAGGACCACGCACCAACTCTCCATAGTTGGGAAAGTTTTCCTAACATATTCCAAGCAGAGGTCTTTGCTAAAAGTCGTAGAGATAAATCTCCAACAAAACTATAACAATGAAAGTATAGTTATACTCAGCGACAGGGATCAAATCGCAATTGGTGCTGGGGTGTATAGAATGGCTGAATAGTATATCAGATCATAACCAAGTGCACTTTATCTGGGTAGCCCGGTCACTAAGGTATAGCCGGGAATGAACTGACTAATGAAGTCGACCGCTTCGCAGCATGCTAGACCCGGACCTTTCATTGTGGTTTTCCCCCATGCCATAAATATGCTACTCCGCAAGAATGAAGGAGTGGGTAGGGAGGGGTATTGGCGACAGTTTCAGAGCATGCGCCATGCCAAGTTGCAATTGGGTCGTTTCATCCTTAAAAGCTTTAAATATGTAATCAACCTTCAAAGGAAGAAACTCCGGCTACTTGTCGCCTTCTACACTGGCCATTGTAAGCGGAAGAAGCATTTATATAACATGGGTCTAGCTTCCTGTGCTAATTGACTGCACAGCAGTCTGTAGCCGCAGGACAAAGATTCTTGGAGTCAAGTTTCCAATTAGAGATCACAACGTCTCAACAGCACCTAGCAGTAAATTGGAGTTTAGCAATATGCTGGTGGTAAGCAAGTCGTTGAGATTGAATAGAGGCCAGACCTTAGGTCGCTGTGCGCTGTGTCTTCCTTTATGTACCTAATCTAATCTGGTATTTCTAAATGAGCTATATATCAAGGATACTAGTACACAGTAGTCTGTATCACTTAAATACACAGTTAATACTCTTAGGAACTCTTTTACTATGCTGGTATCTTAAAAATTTCTCTCGGTGCCGTTTTTTTTGCATACACTAGATAAAGCTACCTTCTGCTTCGATATAATGGTATACACGTCATCAATTTATTATACTCGATATAACATATCACACATCATCACTATCAATCTCCCTGAATTTTTTGAGAGAAAATCGAAAAATTTCAGCAAAAGTACTTCATACCAATACGCACCGAATTTGCTAAACTTTACCCCAGCAAAGACTTTGCGATACCGGTACACAGTGGAAAGGCTTTTACATTTTACACCAGCAGATAAGAGCAGCGAACTCTAGCAATATAACTTCAAAAAATGAGTAGCAACAAAAAAGCTGAAGATTTCGGAAAACAAAAGGGAAAGTCTCTGCGGATATGATTTGATGGATGCAAAGCAGATGCAAATAAAAGGAATGTAACGGTATCTGGTGATGTTGCAACATAAAAGTGGTATGCAAATGAGACATATGTGCACACAACACAAAAAAGACAAGTAACAAATACAATGTATGCACATCCCCGTCGCATGTATTCAAAGACCGCATAGTTCATCTCACACCACCGACTTGTGTCTGGAGGCAAGTACCGATCGCAGCGCCGCTACGCTCCCTTCAAGATTTTATTTTATTCTGTGCAAATTTCTACCACATATTGTGGCCTCTATTTTTTTGTTTTTTGTTTTGTGTTAGTTGTTGTCTCACAATTGTTGCGTTCTCCTGTTGCTCGTCTGTTGTCCTGCCAAATGCCAATGCAACGCTGTGAGTCTAACGTATTGTCCGTACTGCGAGTCCATTGTTGGCATGCGTGTGGCATACGGCTTGCAACAGCATTGTGCTTTTCTTTCTTCATTTTTTGGCATAACTTCGGGCATGCCAACAACACTAGCAAAAACAAAAAAAATGCGTCTGCGTTGCTCTAATGCAATTTAACTTTTCTACTTTTCCTTCCATTGAGTCAGCTACACTTCCGTTATGGTTTCCTCTTGCAATGCCCGGGGTGGCATTTTTGCTACTGCCGCAAGCATCTTTTGTTTCTCGCCACAGCTTCAATAGAAGTTGGGAAGCCGATTGAATGGGGAGTGCTCTTTCAAAGTGCATGAGATGTTTTGAAGAAATTCTTTATTTCTTTGCTTGTCTTTTTATTGCTTTCAAGTGTGTGTGTAACGGTAGGGATTGCTGTGCTCCATAAACACACTTTGACCTGTTTATGTTATCAAAGGTTCGTCTAGTTGAACTAACCAAGAAAGGTGAAAAGGTGAACAGTGTGAGCCAGGTAGATGCACACAATGCCTTGGAGCTCCTTGGGACCAATGTCTATAATTGGCAGATGCGATTTTGAGCCGCTTGACACTTCGGTATTTTCAAGCGTTTTGTCTAAGCTTCTTTTTTACAAATCCCATGAGTTTTATGCAGGATTTGTACCGCAGAAAGATTTAAGGAAAAAATTTCTGAACTATTCTGAGATTGTAGAGTTGTCTTGGTTAATAATCTATTTAATAGTTAGAGAAGAAATTTTGGAAAAATTAGGAATTATTATTCAATATAGTGTACTTTTATATCAATAAACTTGAATCAGCGATGCTCCAACTTCTGAAGATTCTTCTTCTTCTTGATTGGCGTAGTCACCGCTTACGCGATTATAGCCGAGTTAACAA